AAAATGCTTAGCGGAATGCGGCAAAAATTGCTGTCGATGCTATGCGAAACGCGACGGGAGCAGAGTACAAGTATGGAACGATTGCCGAGTTAATGTGTAAGTAAATTTTATTTGCGTAGAAGTAATACACCATTTATTTAATTTACTTACAAAGTGCACGAAAAAGTAAAATTATAAGTAACAGAATAATTATATTATAGTATTATAGATCCTGCATCGGGCACGAGTATCGATTATATGCAAGATCGTGGAGTACCATATATTTTCGGAGTTGAATTACGACCGCTGGACTCACATGACACCTATGGTTTCAGCTTACCGCCGCAACTTATAAAACCAACAGGTGAGCGAACCACGAGATATTTGCTGCTTTGTCTGTCGTGCAGTGATAGCCATGGAGGGAGTTGAGGGTAAGGCATTAGTCAAGAAAATTTACTATCTGAATATCTGAAGCTCCCTTAAATCTCGAGTGTTTGACTAAAAATGGCAATTTTTTTTTGCAAGGACAGAAAATTTGCTTGTGTCTTAAATCGCACTATTGCTGGAGTATCACTGAAGAATTGATCAGCGTTTTGGAAATTTCTAAAGTAATACAAATGCACAAAGAGTCATTCGGGGAATTTTCCAAGATGATTTATTAGTGGAAAGCATCCATTGCGCATGAAAGGTTTGTCGGTTGAGATTCGTGACATATCGCTGAAAAGTTGTTTCCCAATTTTTATTGTAAGCGAGTCAAACCACTATCTTAATTGCTTTATTTCTCAAAATTAAAACATCTAATTAATGGAACTACTGCAGATTAATGATGAACAATTTTAGGCGAGGAAATGCTAGCCGGTTTAATTGCAATTGGCGACTATGCAATATTGCATAAGAAAATTTGATACTCATTGTTGTCTAGAAGTATGAATCTCATTAGTTTTAAGATAAGTTCGTTTATTATTGTAGATGTACGTAGATTAAGCAGAAAGAGCTTTTTTGAATTTGTTGAAGTGACCTATATCCATCGAATATTAATTCCAGATTATCACCACAAGATATTAGAATAATCTCTTATGCATGTTGTACGTCCCTATATAATTATATGTACTTCTTATCGTATCTGCGGACCATCAAACACCGGTACATTTGAATTGTTTACTATTCATGCAGCTTTAATGTATTTCGTTGATTTTGTGACGATATTTTTGTAAATGCAAAAAAAAATCTT